AGAGTTATAGCATCAATAGTTTCAATTTAGGATTGTGTTTCGCGTTCGACAAATAATTGACGCGTAGTTTGCATGAACTGGTAAATATACAAGGTGAATAATGTGAGAGATTTTAAGAGGTAATTCCTAAGAATAATGTAAAAGATTTTAAGGGGTAATTCCTCACACAAATTCAAGATGAAAACTTCATATGACTACATGTCCGAAACGGTTTAGAATCAAAGATATAGAGTTGATATCAAAGTTGAAGGTAAAATTTTGTTTTTCCAAAAATTTCGAAAACCACTCAAGTTATTTTGATGAAACTTGAAACATACACAAAGCTTCATCAAAGTAACCCGAATGAGTTTCAAAATTTTAGGAAAAAACGAAATTTTTCATTCAGCCGTTGAAAGAAAAATTTCGAAAACCACTCGAAGGGTTCAAATCTTTTACATTACTTAATATCTACCCTATATATAAATTCGCACGAAAATATTATTAGCCACACAGAGAAAAACATTTCTTTACATTCAGTATTTCTATTTGTTTGGCTTACATTTGTTTTATTGAAATAACATAATTTTAAAAGAAAAATTATATCTATTTATATTTGTTTAATACAAATCTGTTTTGTTAATACAAAAGATTTATGTAAATTATATTGTTTGGTTAAAAAAACACGATTATTTGAAATAATTTTTTTCAAAATTTGTTTATACATCTAAAGAAATACTTCTCTCTGTGTACCAAAATCCACTTTGATCGAATAGGTTTATTTCTATTATTAATTGTGTATTCACACATTGGCCGATTTTATTTATTATTGAAAAAAAATCATGTTCCCATTTTTACACAGTTGATTTTTTTCCTTTCTCGAGATTGCAAGACGTTCCACAATTTCACGTATTTACGACCGCTCGCGTAATACAACCGACGAAAAGGTCGATGACGGAGCAGTGGAATTTTGGAGGCGCTCCAAATACTTTCTTCGTTTTGATATTGCGCGATGCCACATACGGGAAAACTAATAACTCATTTTGATCGCGAATAGTTTCGTGAAATGATAATATCCTCGTTTTTTCTTCCTATGTACGTATAAGCTACTATAGCACACAGCATCATTATTTTCATAAAAAGATGGCCAAAATATAGATATCTGAATAAATTTTGTGTTTTTATTTTATGAATTTAATTGGTAAACTATCTACATGTCTATTGTACTGTCATTTAGAAGTGTTATAGCTACAATATATATCCTTGTTGGCTCTATTCAAAATTTATGTTTGTTTGAGATGAATATAGTGGAGGAAACAAGTCACACAATTATTATTAATAATTCCTCGCTTTGTTTCATCAATTTCAAATCTTCTCATATCATGTAGAGTTATTATCTCATTATTTTAAAATAAGTTAAACATATTACAGCTTTCATTTTATAGCTTTTTCGACAATAATAACTTGTTTTGACTTTTAAAAACGACATTTAAATCTATTAAATCGTTAATTTTCCATAGATAAAAATTTTATTTCGGTTAATTCGTTTACGCAAGATTATAACGATGTAAAGTAAGGTGGCACAATTTCGAACAATTCTGATACAATTCTGTACGACATAATATTCTAATTTTCAAGTTTCAAATTTGGTAAATAATCTCATTATATGGAGTTTAAACTTCAAATTGAATCTTGAAAATTAGATTCAAATCTTATGTCATATAGAAACCACGTTCAAAATTGTACAACTTTACCCTAGATATTTTATCATAGATAACTGTAATAACATATCTTGCGTATATTTGTGTCTTTTATTACACAATGTAAACATTAAATTTGATTTAGTCCATATCTCTTAAATTTTACAATGCTTTTTGTAAAATTGTTTAAATTTTTAATCAAAATTAATGCATTTTAAAAAGCATATAAAGTAATACTCATGTTATCGATTTATAATTTTAAAAATGATATTTTGATTAGATTTTTTGTTAGATTTTTCATTTTGTATATATTTTTTTATTTGCTTTTAAACAAAAAATACACATACACTGATTGGCCAAAAGTTTGAAAACACTGTTTACAAATTGACACTTTCGAGATTACCTAATCAAATATTCATAACAATGTATTTTTTTTAACAATAATTCTTCAAATCCAATAATTATTGTACAAAATAAAAAACAGCTTTTCTGCGTTTTTATCGATGTTTTTCCGAACTTTTGGCTTGGAATGTATACGTATGTAGTCATTTTTTTAAAATTCATCACTGTACGTCGCGCTATTCATGTAATAAATAAATGTATTTTTCATCAATATTCTCGCGACATGTCAAATGCTACATATAGAATTCTGTTCGTATAAATGCATGCTTGCCATGGACGGCTTGCATTTTCGAAAAAGACACTTTTCCATAGAATATAAATATCTCAAGAAAATGGAAATATTTACGAAAGATTCTCATTCCAATGCATCTGAAAAGTAAATCCGTATGCAAGATATATACGGGAGAATGTTTGGTTTTAAAATAATGGAAAGTGTATAGAGAAGGTAGATTATGGTATGCGGGATATTGCACCACGCACGAAGTGAAATCAGAATAGAAAGGTGCTGTCGTCGATTTTTTTTCTTTTTCTTTCTTTCTTTCTTTTTTTTAGCTACTTAATGAGCGTAGAAATATTTTCTGCAGCGACTTCACCGAAGTTAATAATCTCGAAAATCAAGGACGCGCGACTGCTCTATTATTGTCGCGAGATATACGGGCGAGAGCCGCGGGCGCCGCGCCGTTTTCGCGAGAAAAATTATTACGTATGGCATAAGCTTTTCTCGCGAGAACGCATGAATATTACTCAAAACTTTCCTCCTTCCGCGTGCGACTAAGTGCATTAAGTCTCTCACCTGAGAGTCGCGAGACAGTAATGCACTCGAGATATAAACTCGTAGAAGAAATACAATCGAAACTAATCCCCAGACGCAAAATTCGGTCCGGAATTTTAACCGAGGGGTGAACCACTACTAAAAAAATGTACAGTGATTGCCAATTACGGCAATACAACACACTTTATTGCTAAATAGATATTGCTATTGTACTGCTTTCCTATTGTCAGTTAATATTGTCATCTATTATCTCATGTACTGCCTTGTACCTATTGCACAATATTGCCAAGTATTTTTAATATATTGCTAGGTATTGTTCGAGATATTACTATGTATTGATAGCGTATTGCTAGTATTGTATTGCCGCAATATATTCCTAAAAAGATTTACACTAATTCCCACAGTGGTTGACCCCTCGATTTTGACTCACTGCCCGAATTTTATTCTTGTCGACGAGATTTTTAAAAGCGATCGTTTATTTTCGCGAATAATTCACGCTGAATAATTCACAAAAAAATATTACAAATATTGTTTGCGCGAGACGGTCCAGCCTCGTAAAAGATTATTACTTTTCACGTTGTAGGTTTCGAGAGAATGAGAAACGTAATAAATTTCTTTGAGCTGGGGCAGAGGCGGCATTTTCCGAGAAGCGATGTTACCGCGCTCGGTATTGCATCCGCGCCAGCCGCGATCGATATATTTTTCCCACGATACGTCGAAAGCGCGCGCGTCGGCAAAGGGGAGAAGGAGAGCGCGAGAGAAAAAAGCAATTACCGCGCGCGCGGAAATGCCGGGGTTCTCCCGGCGAATCGCGGACAGTGCCGGGCATCGTTCGTCTTATCTGTTATGAAATATTGTTTTTTCGTACGCGGATAGCGCAATTCGAGGATGATCGCGAATCTCCTTTCAACGACTTACGCTTACCCGTAATCATAATTCACCCACGAATTCATGATCCGCCTTTATTGTACGCCAGAGTTGTCAGTTTAATCGTTGGAAATGACCGAGAGGAGGTCGTGACCCCTGAACTATGTGCTACATTTTTGAAGATATTTGTTTCCATTGCGCGCTTATATACACCATGATTCTGTTTTCTATACTTGGAATATAAATATTGGTGTAGATTTAAAAATGTAACTTTACATTCTTAAACTCTACGCCAATATTTATTTTCCTAATTTAAGGTAATTTGTCGCGATTAATTGTTATAGTATAGTTGATTAATTGTTTATACAGCGCCAAAGTGTTATTCCTGAAATTATGCGTTGTAGCAAAAAATGTTTCAAACAAAAGTTGCATAATTTGAAAGAGCACATTTGTTTACGACAAATAATGATAAAATCAATTTATTTAATATAATTTTTCTAATTAATCATGCATATAAAAATATTAAAATAAAATTACAAAAAATCAAGAATTTACGAGATATTTTATACTTTATTCGGACATACATATTTTGACATAAAATATCTCGTAAACTATTGATTTTTTTTACAATTGCATCTTAATATTTTTATGTACAGAATGAGATGAATCAAGCAAGATAAAGGAAACACATATGAAGTTACTTTTCAAAAAAAGTATGTAATTACATATAGCTCATGCTAAAAAATAAAAAGAGATTGGATTTTTCTATACTTGTGAGCTTAATCGTATTTTTCTCGCGCATTTTTTTTGTTTGTTATAACGTGATATTAAATTCCTTTTCTTAACCACGCCAAGTTCAAAACTAATAATAACCGACGCTCGCAACATCCCTGCTCACTGGCTCTATAACTAGAGCGCATTGGGAAATCGTTTCTCGATGCGCAATACGGTGCACTGCAGGTGGAAACGCGTGAACGCCGCGGCCATTAGTTTGACCCAATGACCCGCAATTAACGCGTTCGCGCGAATCGTAACGCGCGTAGGTGCCGCTTTACCTGGCTCCGATCTCTCGCTGACATTTAGCAACGTTAAAGTGGCAACTCTACGTAATCGTCTCGTCGCGTAAAAAAAGATCGCGAAAGTTGGAGAAATCTTAGTTCAGTATAAGATCTGAAATCGCACGATCAAGCTGATTCGCGGGCTACAAATTAATTAGTTGTATTAATCGAAAGTCACGCACTCTTACGAACTTAACGCTCTTATAAAACGTAAAGATCTCTTACCTTAACTGTGCCGCGCAACCGTTGCGATAGGTTCCATGCCTGATCCGTAAATAGATCGTTCTGTAATACAAAGAAGAGAAGAATTGAAAAATCTGTTACAAAATTAAATTGGAAAAAAGTTATTTATGTATTTATCATTAAAACCCAAAGTTACATTCAGAATACATTAAAAATCGCGTAATAAGCGTATAAACTGAAAAAAAAACGTTTAAAATTGGATACTTTTTTAAAACTTATTTAGTAAACGTTATAAGAACGTTTTATAAGGACGTTTATTTAACGTTTTATAAGAACATTTATTTAACGTTTTCTTAAGTCCTTTTAAAATACCGTTTCCATAAGACATATTTCAACGTTTTAATAAACGTATATTTAACGTTAATAACGTCCATTTAATGTTTTTATACTTTATACTTTATAAAACCGTTTCGGTTAAAAATGTGTTATAAATAGAATGCTTGGGAAATTAAAGAGCATTAATCGTATCTTCTATAAATCGGAGTTAATTCGACGTCTCATTTCCATTCGCTGTAACATAAATATAACATAGTACATTTATACTTCGCGGGATGATCGGGATAGGGATGTAAAAGAAAAAAAAGGCGCGAGAAATAATAATCCGCCGAGAGAAAGACGCGTCGTGGAGGCGCGCGCACTCCGCCAAAGACGCTACCAAAAATAAACGCGCGCGCGTTTGGTTAAACGGGCGTTTATGTATACACAGCGAAAGCATCTGCCCGCAGTCAGTCACCTATTTCGGTGGAAGGCGTGGAGGCAGCGTTAGCAGCGACGGCGACGAGCGGCCGTCGGCTTCGCAGAGGTGGGGTGTCGGATGTCATGGGGATTTGCGTAACCGCTCGCGCTCTCGCGGGCACACTTTTTAATCCGGCGGCGTGTGTAAATCACGCTTTTAGCACCGGGAAATCGCCGCCTCGTACGTAGTACTCAAGTACTCGCGCTGCACTGTCATTAAGGTGGTTCTTTAGTAAAGTGCCGAAAATTTGGGGTGCCTCATCAGGGCCCACCCAAAATCATAAATATTTGCATAATTTGGATGAAATATTTAAAACTATGTGTATATCTAATGAAACAAACGATATTTAGTATGCAAAAATGATGAATGAAATCACTAAAAAGAAGTTAAATTACTGACAGGCCGTGTGAGGTTATGTGACATTTTTCCATTTCAACATTAAATACCTTTCCAGAATGATCGATGACCTATTATTACTTTTTTGTTAAAATCGTAATTTTTTAAACTATTATAATCTCGTTTTTCACTCCATACCTATATGTGAAAAGATATATTTTCAACATTTTTTTTCTCTCTTATTTCATCGATGATCTACCCTAGAATTTTACACACGCCAAGTTCGATACTTCAACTTCATTATATCAAAGAATTAGACATTTCTGTCGTAGCTCGATTTACTGAAGGACCACCTTAAAAGTTCGCTCTCGTCGACGATCGTGTGAAGGAGCTCACGATGGCGATGGCATCACCGCCATCCGACCGACTCGGCAATAATGTAATGGGGAAGTTTAATGGCCGTCACTGCGGGCAACGTGCACCGTCGTACGTGCAATAACAATTAACGACAGAGGGTAACAGATGTCGGCCGCGGGGCTCGCGCGCTGCAGCCAAGGGCAGCTACAGGGGTTGAGAGGGCGGCGGGGGGGGGGATGGAGGAGGGAAAGAGAGCTTTTTGTTCTCTCATAGCGAGAATGGCGACATTTTGCAAAGGACCCCATTTGTCGGCTCGTTAAACGAAAACGCGTTATACGCTGTGACGAATTACACTTACATTAGATCACGATGTAATGTAATATGTGCGCGGTGATGCGCGCGCGAGAGATGAATGTATCGGTGATGAACGAGGTAAAGGATAAATACAATCACTCGACTTACGACTTATTTTTCTATGTTTGTATACGCGAAGTAAATTACTAAGCTCCTATAAATATTTATTACTATAGATTTGTTGGACAAGTGATATTTAAAAAATGTAAATGGAGAATTATATTTAAAAAAAAATTTGAGAAATTTTGGTAATAACCATAAATGAGGCGATTATAAAATAGAATAAAATCTTTATTTACTTTAGCTAACAAGTGCTAAGAAGAGACTTATAGTCAGTTTACACTTTTTCTCAAACACACACACACACACACACACACACACACACACACACGTATATATCTTTTTACTTTCTATTCTTTCTACTTTTTGGCATTTAAAATCTAACAATTAACTTACAGATGTCACTGTGCTTACAATATCTTACGTTATCCTATTTTTACACAGCCTTTTACTTCTTAAAATTAAATTTCCATACCTTCTCTTTACCTCCTTCACTTTTGAACTCATTTTTCATCCTTATCGTACATATTTCGCAATCTCCATATTATCACCTCCTAATTTACCTAAAATCTTAATTTCCTTTCCCCATTCTTAATTTTTCTAAATTTGCTTTCCTTAACAGCTAAGTCCTCATCCATCTATTCTGTATATCGTATTATATCTTTTATTTATTTCCATATTTATTCTATCTAAGCCTTTTATGAAGGAGGGATTGTATTAGAATAAAATTGAACGTAACAGCACTATTTTTAGTTCAGGAAATGTTTCTGAAGGCCGTGATACTGATTACGTGCGACAGTCAGGCAAATATTGGCCATGCACACGCTGCGCCTAGTAAACAATTAAGTTCCACGCGAAACTGGGTGTGGTAAGACACGACGCGTTGAGTACAATATAGATGGGGATTCAATGGCGCATAATAATAGCAACGAGAAAAATCAATGGCGCGTGATATATATATATATATATATATAAATACCTTGTCGTATCACATATCATGCATGCCGAACATTATGCCATACAATATTCTTGAGCTGATGGTACAATCGGAAAAGAGATGACTCCTCATAAAAAAAAATAAATGAAGACGTAGGATAAAACTTATGACTTATTTATACACAAAACTTCGTTCTTGAAGAAAAATAATTTGAAAAGTCGGAAAATCAATAATGCATTTGCTTTTTATTAAACTTGAATGATCTATGTCATCGAAATTGCGTCGTCTCGATGGCTATTAATATATAATACAAATTTAAAAACATTATTTCGTTTTATAAAACAATAAAAAATAATTTAAGTTGCTGAGGAAACGATATGTAAAATCAAAATAACTCTCAGTTGTTCAATATGATGTTATATTTCTTTGTACGTATTTTGACAACCGGCTACGCGAGATGTATTCGTTAATATATTACATTATCTTTAGAAATTACTCGAACAAAAAGGCGATTTTCAAAAATCACGGTTCTCAAAAACGAAGTGGCATGAAAAAGAAATTTATTCCTTAATTTTATACAATTATTATTTCTTATGAGGAACTACTTACTTTTCAATTATACTAATGGCTCGGAGACTCTGTGCATGTAAATAAGGGAAGAATTTATGAAGGTTTTATGCATAATTATAAAAACCGAGAAGAGAATCCGCGAAGAATCTTCAAGATGCTCGTCGTTATCACCGAGCGCACTGGAAACTGCAAGTTCGCCGTACTATTTATCTCCGCGGGGGAAATAAATCGAGGGTTTCCAGCGGCCCGTAGAAATTCCGAAACCCTTAATTAAACGAGTAGACGGCTTTAAATTGTTGATTCGGAAATTTGCATCGTGTACGCCGCGCGTGGCGCGGCGACCCCGAGCGAAACGCTCTGCTCTGCGTTGTTCCTCCGGGGTAAACACCCGCCCGAAGTAGGTACACACAACGGGAAAAGTGACGGGGAAACAGCGCGACGCGGCGCGGCGCGGCGGTGTGCGTGCGGAAGCCGGAGCGGAGAAAGGTGCCGCGATCGGCGTCGGCGGAGGATATCGATCACGGAACATTTGCATGGAAATTTCTTGCGGCGAACGCTGCCGGTTATATATTTCTTCCCGCAACCGGAAACCGGTTGATTCGGGCCCCACTCCGATCGTCTAAGATATCGCTCGGCGAGGAATCGACGATCGTCGATGGATCAGAAAAAAATGCCCGATAGATAAAAACTATAACTCTCTTATCTTATACAAGTCAGAGATAACGACTTACAATTAGATTTAATTTTAGTGCGTGTTACAGTCAGTCGCACGAGAGAACGTGTCACGATATCGCCGAACAAAAATATGGATGACGTGGAGAGAGATGAGGAGTGTGTAAATGTCCGTGGTATTTATCGACTCGTTTTATGCTGGACATATTATTTGTCTGGCTCTTGAAATAAAGTAACTTTCATGATTGCAACGTATATGCTAAACTGGGTTATATTAATTGGAAGCAGTTCTCCTTTGCTCGCGTACTCAAAAAGAATTCAATTGCAACCTTTTACAAATTTACAATTAGATGTATGCATGACATACACAAATTTGTCAAGAAATGGATTTCACAAATAAAAGGAAACTACCGATGATCTTACTTTACTAATCTTTTAAAGCTCACAATCAATATAGAGGAGATAAGTAATGTTATTTTCAATGACATTTTACGTAAATCATAAATTTATCAAATAAAAAAGAAGAAATTAAAAAATACAAGATACAGAATTTTATAAGTATTATATACTATACATATAATATTAAAGTATTATATAAGTTAAGTAATTAGAAAAAAAAATCAGATTATTATACGGGACAAAAACTAAACACGAAAGAAAGTATCTACAACATAAGGTACGCTATGTTGTTAATCGTGACTGAAGAAATGATTTCTATAAATTTGGCGTCTCATTTTTAAATTAAATTTTCAATAAAGAAAATATTAGTTTTTTGTTTGTAATTATATTTGTAATTTCAGCTACTATTTCGGGCTCAATTTTGAGATAAAAAGGATTCGTTGGTATCTACATCTTGACGATGGCAAATAAAATGATGACAATTTTTTATTAAAAATTTATTATATTAAAATGGCTTATTAAGTATACAAAGGTGAAATTTGTTTCATAAATAAATGTTCTTTTTAAGATTTATTTTTGGGCTTTCTATTAAACAAACTCGGTCGACAACCAATTAATTCAACGCATGAAATAATAAAAATACTTGAGATTGCTCCAACACATATATCTACAGTTATTGAAACTTTGTGCGTATTTACTATTTACCAGATATTCAATTATTTTTTGACACCTATGATATACCTACAAAAGCGATTTATTAACTAAAATAATGAGTGGATGCTACACGAGAATAATAATCCCAAAAATATCGAAATTGTATCTGTACTAAATGAAAAGATGAAAACAACATTATTATATCGTATTAGCCATTTCAATTTTCCGATGTTAATGTGAGAGAAAATGTACGGTATATCATGAAATAAAATCTTCGCGGAGAAAATTTGATTTTTCAGCCAAAATTTGCTACTATGTAGCCGAAAGATGGCAATCTCTATCTGTCTCATATGTCGAAAAATTGGTTGAGAGCATGCCAAGATTTAAGCAATAATCGCTAATAGAGACGATTGAACTCACTATTAAGTAAAATAAAACCGTAATAATGTGTGTGTGTGTGTGTGTGTGTGTTTTAAGTGCACTTCCAAACCTAAAGTACTAAATTTTTATGTATTAAATTTCTTTATAAGCTTGAAGAATATGCTCTTATGTGACACATTATTGAATAGTTTATTAATTATAACATGTAGTTAAATAAAAAATATTGGAGAAAAAGAAGAAAAGAGATTATTTGATTCAAAATAACATATAAAAATAAAATACTTTCAATACTTCAAATATTAGTGATCTATTATTATTATTATTATTAAATATATATATATATATATATATATATACGTTTAGTAACTTTTAATAAAAGCTTGGTAAAGTGCTCAGATTTCTTTATCATCTTCATGCAATCGGAAACGAATACTTTTTTATTCCTTGAAGATTTGGTAAGAAAGATCGATTTTATAGAGCCAGCTAATTAATGGAGTTGAGCCGCAACGAGCGGACAAAAAATTAATTAAGCTCCATTGAAAAGCACGGTGAGACAAAGGCGAATCTCTAATCTGAGAAACGTCCTTCTGACAGATTCTTTTTTTCCCTTCTATCGCACACACGTGAATTTAGGACAGCTAATTAAGACAAAACCCCCGACAGCGTTCAATGTCTCAGAGTGAGTTGGTTCAGATTCACAAAGCTTGCGGTTTGAGGAGAAGCAAAATTAACCCTTAATCTTCTCATTAATCCGAGAGAGAGAGAGAGAGAGAGAGAGAGAGAGAGAGAGAAAGAGAGAGAGAGAGAGAGAGAGGGGGAAGAAGAGGCTTTAATATATAACCGAGAGAAATTTCAATTTCCAGCACATTTCCAGTTAATTAGTTTTTCCTTAGAAACTAAATTAATTAAATCAAATATGTAACTTCACATTAAATTTTGATGAAGATTCAGGTAATTCTTTCATTGCCGGGCTTGAATAACGCCGGTCAATAATAGTTAACGCCGAGATCCAATTATCTTTTAC